TCATGTCCTGATTTTTCAGCTCCCACTCTAGCTTTTGTCTGCTCCCACTCTAGTTTTGAACATTCCGCCATTCATTCCTATGGGACCAATTTCACCACAAAAACGGCGATATTCTGTGAACCATTCGGCGAAACGTTCCACAAAGTAATAGCGCACCAATCGGAAACAATCCGCACGTTTCGGTATATTACTGTCCAGGGGTGGACTGACAAATCATGGGGCCCCCGGGCAATAGGGGATCATGGGGCCCCTGTGTCCTTGCCCTCACTCAAAAAAAGCCTATAAAAAAGGTACCAGGGGCATTTCATGGGGCCCCCTACTGACCCTGGGCCCTCTGGCAGTGCCCAAGTGCTCGAATGGTCAGTCCGCCCCTGTTACTGTCTATGTAGTGTAAAAACTGTGGGAGGAGTTAGGGGGGTAAATTTGGCTATAATAATCAGAATATATATGTGAGATAACAGGAAGGGGTCGCCATGCAGGAACACTTCATGAATAAAGTGTGTAATCCTTTTATCATGCCAACAAGACGAAGACATTTCAGAAATTACAGCTATGATCCTAAATCTCGGTTTAACTTGGCAGGGATTTTACTTTTCTAAATGCTCATTTGAAGAGATGTAATGTATTTCCTATTGTGTGGATTTACAAGTACAAAACGAATGTGTATTTTTCATTAAGAAGCATTCTTTAAATGATTACTGTACAGATGTGAAGTGAGATCAGTATCACGCGTAGCGTAAAGGCAGCTTATGAGAACATTATACCAAACACATTTTGACCGGCAGTAGTGAGATTTAGTCACACGGCATTGCTGTATCCGATAAATATGACATTGGGATAAGCAGATATTATTAGATGCTGAAATTACAGGGCACTTCTTCAATTACAAATTAGATCTGCTTGGCTGCCCAATGCAATTTAGAACAATTACTGAAACAACGTATAGGTAAGGAGAAGAAGGCACATATGCAAAAACGAAATATGCATTGCTTTAAAAGAGGACCCAGGGCGTATAAAGATATAATCCAGCTATGTACATAAACCACTATATTTAACTATGTAGCTCAACCTTTGTCATTTCCAACAAAGGTTAAATGATATATAAATGAAGACCTCCTTCTCTCTAGTTCCCTGGTCCCCTCCTCCCATGCCCGCCTCCAGGACTTCTCCAGGGTGTCACCCATCCTCTGGAACTCCCTGCCCCAACCCATCAGATTATCACCTACTCTCCTCTCCTTTAGGCGCACCCTGAAAACCCATCTCTTCAGGGAAGCCTACCCCCTGTTAACTTGTCGACCTCCTCCACTCTTCCTACCACTCCATCCCCCACAGCTATCTCCTCCTGTGCCACTATCCCCTCCCTCCTAGATTGTAAGCTCGTAAGAGCAGGGCCCTCGATCCCCTCATGTTTTGCATTGTATTGGTATTGTTCTGTCACATGTTCTGTCCCCCTTTGTAATGTACTGCGCTGAGCGAACTATTGGCGCTTTATAAATACTGTATAATAATAATAATAATAATAAAATAATATTAGTTAGGCCCCATGTACACGGGACACTTCTGAATGATGGCAACTGACTGCTGGAAAACGTTAGTTAAAAAAAACAGCTGTTTAGCCGCGTTTGCATTTAGAATCGTTTTTTAAAGACAAGAACAGGAGAACCTCCCAAATACCCAGAATGCACTGAAAAATGGTAAATTATTAACTATTTCAGACTGTTTCAGAGAAATACAGAGAGTAGAAGCAGAGACAGCAGCATGTGATGAGATTAGCTTAGGTGTGAGTTGCTCATTAACATTTCTTTTGTTTCCAAGGGTGGGAACAGTGTCTGGTGGAGGGAGTCATTAAGTTCACCTGGCAGGGGGTCTTCATGAGGAATTGGAGGTGTGAATGGTCATTAACATTTCTTTTGTTTCCAAGGGTGGGAAAGGTGTCTGGTGGAGGGATTCATTAAGGTCACCTGGCAGGGGGTCTTCATGAGGAATTTGTGGTGTGAATGGTCATTAACATTTCTTTTGTTTCCAAGGGTGGGAACAGTGTCTGGTGGAGGGATTCATTAAGTTCACCTGGCAGGGGGTCTTCATGAGGAATTGCAGGTGTGAATGGTCATTAACATTTCTTTTGTTTCCAAGGGTGGGAAAGGTGTCTGGTGGAGGGAGTCATTAAGTTCACCTGGCAGGGGGTCTTCATGAGGAATTGGAGGTGTGAATGGTCATTAACATTTCTTTTGTTTCCAAGGGTGGGAACAGTGTCTGGTGGAGGGATTCATTAAGGTCACCTGGCAGGGGGTCTTCATGAGGAATTTGAGGTGTGAATGGTCATTAACATTTATTTTGTTTCCAAGGGTGGGAAAGGTGTCTGGTGGAGGGAGTCATTAAGTTCACCTGGCAGGGGGTCTTCATGAGGAATTGGAGGTGTGAATGGTCATTAACATTTCTTTTGTTTCCAAGGGTGGGAAAGGTGTCTGGTGGAGGGATTCATTAAGTTCACCTGGCAGGGGGTCTTCATGAGGAATTGCAGGTGTGAATGGTCATTAACATTTCTTTTGTTTCCAAGGGTGGGAAAGGTGTCTGGTGGAGGGAGTCATTAAGTTCACCTGGCAGGGGGTCTTCATGAGGAATTGGAGGTGTGAATGGTCATTAACATTTCTTTTGTTTCCAAGGGTGGGAACAGTGTCTGGTGGAGGGATTCATTAAGGTCACCTGGCAGGGGGTCTTCATGAGGAATTTGAGGTGTGAATGGTCATTAACATTTATTTTGTTTCCAAGGGTGGGAACAGTGTCTGGTGGAGGGATTCATTAAGGTCACCTGGCAGGGGGTCTTCATGGGGAATTTGAGGTGTGAAACATCATTAACATTTCTTTTGTTTCCAAGGGTGGGAAAGGTGTCTGGTGGAGGGATTCATTAAGGTCACCTGGCAGGGGGTCTTCATGAGGAATTTGAGGTGTGAATGGGCATTAACATATCTTTTGTTTCTAAGGGTGGGAGAGGTCTGAAGTGTGAATTGGTCATTACAATATTTGACCAGCTTGGTAGGAACATCCTGTGTTCAGTGTTTTGTCCATTTGAGTACCTTGAAAACGCTTTGCGTGCATTTTTCATGATGAATAAAGGCTCTGGACAGCATTGGGAACTGGAAGAGTTGAAAAAAATTTCAAACATAAACGCTTATAAACACGATTTGCCACGTTTAGCCACATTTAAAAGCGTTTTGCGTTTGAAACGCTGATAAAATCGACTGCTGATCGCAAGTTTTCTGCGTTCAAAAAAAACGACTGTAAAATGCCTGTAAATGACTGTAAACAAAGATATGTACATGGACACATAGGAAAACATTAGGGCGAGTTCAGGAGCTGCTGAAAAACACCCTGAACATCTCCTAAACGTGAGTTTATCAGCTGTAATGTACATGAGCCCTTAAAACCAGAGATGAGTGATCTGATTTGTTTGAACGCAGATCCAATCCCTGTCATGTACTTTATCATGGATATCAACAAATGTTAATCAGTTGAACAACAACAGTACAATGTTGACCTCCTGAAAATATGGGCTCTTTCCATGCAGGGCACAATTTCTGCAAAGCCATGACCTAGGGTAGCAGGACTGCCAGGGGAGGCAGATAGCCACCTATACATCAGTTTACTGACTGTTATCTGCTAGGCCAAATTGTCTGGGTCCTTATTGTTACTGCTACTGCATATCCCGCGCATGTATGTTGGTGTAATAATGTAACATTTACTTATCGTTGATCTACTCTGGATGTGTACTTCTAGAGTTGATCTTCTAGCAAACTAGGGTGAAGGATTGCTCTACTCCTTTAGCTGTTTGTTCTAGGTGTCCTGATGCATAAAGGACAAAAAAAACTGCCTCTTTCAGTTTGTGTTACACAAACCTTTGCTTGGCTTGTGTGGACTTTGTACATGTAATACTAGGCCTGGCCAATCAATTAGGATAGGAGGTATGCAGCACAAGACATATGGCCGACGGAACCAGGAGCTTTGCTTCTATGGTGCCTTGCAAGCTCCCCAGGACTCTTTTATGTCTGCCGATCCTTTATACAGCCAGGTATAATTGGTTGCTTAACCTCATCAGACACATTCTTTGGTGGATGTGTTTGTGTGTTTTGCTGAGACTTTCCTAAAAAAAAAGCCTATTGCCTCCATTGGAGAGAAACTGTCAGCAAAAATATCTACTAGGTAGCTGCAGCCAGTCAATTCACAGGGAACTCTGTGCCACACTGCTCTGGGGGGGAGCTAGCTCTGGGGCCCTCTAAGGGCTGCCTTAGCCCATAACAACAAGGCAACCCTCTCACTTTCCTAGCCCACCACATTTGAGTCAAGGGAGTAGGTTTGAAGTCAGCATGGGCATGGACTCTGGAAGAGGAGTTAACCTACAGAGCACAGTGCCAAAGGCTGGAGTAGCCTTTTTCAACCAGCATGCCCAGGCACCCTGGGATGCCTTGAGGTCTCTTCAGGGGTGCCTTGGCAAAATGTCTAATAAATTGTCCAAAAATTGTGTACAAGCCTGCCTTTTAGTAACACAAAGCTACAGATTTTTAGTGTTCATCATTACGACCTTCTAGCCACTGCCATCCCATCAACCAATGACATCATCTGTTGATAAGGAGGATGTTGGTCATCTGCAGAGCATCTTTGTTTGACCCTTCCCTACTCCTCTCCATCAGGGGCACATTGGCAGAGTTATGGAGAAAACCGAGGGAGAAGAGGAACATTGGAATACTAATCAATACTACTGTGCAAGAGTATTTGATTTGGAAGAATAAATCACCCGAAATGTTGGGTGTCCTACATGTGGCTGTTGACACATTATGTAAAACTATTTGAATAGATTTTTACATTTTAGAATGGGGTGCCTTGAGACTGTCCATAATTTTAGAGGATGCCTTGAGATTGTCCATAATTTAAGAGGGTGCCTTGAGACTGTCCATAATTTTAGAGGGTGCCTTGAGACTGTCCATAATTTTAGAGGGTGCCTTGAGATTGTCCGTAATTTTAGAGGGTGCCTTGAGACTCTCCATAATTTTAGAGGGTGCCTTGAGATTGTCCGTAATTTTAGAGGGTGCCTTGAGACTCTCCATAATTTTAGAGGGTGCCTTGAGATTGTCCGTAATTTTAGAGGGTGCCTTTAGATTGTCCGTAATTTTAGAGGGTGCCTTGAGATTTTCCGTAATTTTAGAGGGTGCCTTGAGACTCTCCATAATTTTAGAGGGTGCCTGGAGATTGTCCGTAATTTTAAAGGATGCCTTGAGATTGTCCGTAATTTTAGAGGGTGCCTTGAGATTGTCCGTAATTTTAGAGGGTGCCTTGAGATTGTCCGTAATTTTAAAGGATGCCTTGAGATTGTCCGTAATTTTAGAGAGTGCCTTGAGATTGTCCGTAATTTTAGAGGGTGCCTTGAGATTGTCCGTAATTTTAAAGGATGCCTTGAGATTGTCCGTAATTTTAGAGGGTGCCTTGAGATTGTCCGTAATTTTAAAGCCTTGAGATGCCTTGAGATTGTCCGTAATTTTAGAGGGTGCCTTGAGATTGTCCGTAATTTTAGAGGGTGCCCTGAGATTGTCCGTAATTTTAAAGGATGCCTTGACTGAAAGAAGGTTGAGAAACACTGTACTAGAGGTTTTTGCTCTGGTTTATTGGGATTAGTCTTTGATTGGCATGAGCTAGACTGTGTATTTACTCTCCATATAAAAAAAAAAAAACCACTATTTTATTACACATTATTTATTTTTCTTTACAGAAACCTATATAGTGCCATCAATTTAAGCAGCACTTTACATCTATTGCCCATTCACATCAGCCCCTGCCCTCAAGGAGTTTACAATCTAAGGTCCCTAACTCACATTTCATACATGCACATACTAGGGTCAATTTAGATAGAAGCCAATAACCTAACAGCATGTCTTTGGAGTGTGGGAATAAACCTGAGTACCCGGAGGAAACCCACGCAGGCACAGGGAGAACATGCAAACTCCAGGCAGGTGGTGCCATAGTTGGGATTCAAACCAGTGACTCTAGTGCTGCTAGGCAGAAGTGCTAACCACTGTGCCTACAGTTTGTGTTTTAAAGTATAACTAAAGGCAAAACTTTTTTTTAGTTTAGGATAGAGTGGAGAAGGATTAGAACACCTGTCAGTTTTTGTTGCTGTCTGTGACTCCGTCAGGGAGATTCACCCTGTCTGTTTGTCCTGTTTACCATCATCCTTGAAAGTGAAAAAAAAAAAAGAAAATACCAAATTTTAGGTCGTCCCCAGAAAAGTAATAAAAGGGAAATATTCCAATGGGGACAGTTCTGGTGACCTGGGGGTTCCCAAGGAATTCCCTTAATTTTCAAAGAATTTCTTCTCACTTCCTGTTTGGCTATGGGACAGGAAGTGGAGTTCCTTTTCCAGGCTTAAATGCCAAGAGGTCATGTCCGTTCTGCATTAAGATTGCATCATTAGTAATTAAAAAGGACAAATACCCCCTTTAATGATAAAGGCCCTCACTGTGTGTCATGCAGCACATGCTCCTCTATGCAGATGCCCATATCAGTGTTTGTACATCCAATCCTTGGGCTCATTCTCCAGTGAAACAGGCTAAAGTCTAAGGGATACAAAATGCAGATATCCAGCAGCAGCACGGATGACCAGATCAGAATTTTAGACTTAAGGAAACTGGAACCAGACTTAGTATGATTAAAATAAAGTTCATTAAAACACAGAACACCCATACAACACCAACAGACCATAAACAAAAAAATGTAAAAAATAAACATGACAGTGAAGCAAAACCAAATCAACAACCTAACTATAATACATTATGTACAAATGGAAGAGGCTCACATAAAAAGGGCATGACCAGGACTGAGACCGGGAACAAGGGGAGTGTTAATAAATCTAAATTATGATTCGGCACTTATATTGATGGCAAGCTTGCAAAATATTTGGTTTTTATGATTAGTCATAATTAATATTAATATGTGTGAATGGTCTTTTGACAAATGGTAGTATTACAATTCTTCAATCATAGCTGAGACCAAAAGATATACAATTATAACTGAGACTGATAAATATGAATAAGTTAAGCTGAGACAGTATATATGGGTAAGTTAGCTGAGACAGCTAACCAGCTGAAGGCTGAGTATACTATATTTAGGCTGGTAGTTATGTCAAGGTTATTAGAAGTGACTTACTATTACATTATGTATTTCAATAGTATCTGTGTGTATTTAGTATACGTTTCTAACATTGATACATATATAGATTAGTGATTTATACATTGATATGTTCTTAAGCTATATTATTCTTTAAATATATAGCTGAGGGTTACATACATATGTTCCTGTCCATCAAAGACATTATGTGTCCCTTCTATGCCATACAAAGTATTAAGATGACACATTCATGCTGCATAAAGGGGGCCATTAAGGACAGGGGACACTCTCACACTTACACGCTAACACGACACTCTTGCATACATACATGTCTAAGAAGTTGCAACAGGTGCAGGCTACAATATCGTCACGTCCGGCTTCTTCTTCAAAAAGACACGAGGACAGGCGTCCATGAAAGACAGAATCGCACATGGCAAGGACAGCCATGACAGATAATGGTGACTTTGTCTTTAAAACGTTTGCTTGTTATTTTTACAGTAGTTTTATCTACATGGAACTGTTCATAATACGCTTTACATTGTTATTTTACACCATTGTGTGATAGAATAAATTCACACTTCACTTTTTATTTCAATGGCTCTTTCATTCATAATCGCCTCAAGACACTAGAAGAAGTATTATATGTGTCTAAAAATCCAACAGGGAGCAAAGATGGGATGCAGGATACAGGGTACTGGATACTGTATGCACGGTATGGGATGCAAAGTACAGGATACAAGATCAGGCGGAGAAGTGGCTCACCAGGAGAACATTGGGGCACAGACAATGGTTAAAGGGAGGGATGAAACTATCTTCCCAGTAGCCAGCATCAGTAAAGCCTAATTACTGGGATCTACCAACTAATGAGAGATACTGAACCTGCAGCCTCCAGCTCTGGGAACCACAGTGCCACCAGCAGGTGATTCAGGTCCTGACACATCAGTAGTAGTATGTAAGCAATCTTTGTAACTGTGGGATAGCAGCTAATGGATTTTGCATGATGATGGTAATGGCACTAAATAGTAATTAATAATTTCTGGTACATTTATCAAAATTGATAGATAGATAGATAATAGAATAGATAGATAGATAGATAGATAGATAGATAGATAGATAGATAGATAATAGATAGATAATAGATAGATAGATAGATAGATAGATAGATAGATAGATAGATAATAGATAGATAGATAGATAATAGATAGATAGATAGATAGATAATAGATAGATAGATAGATAGATAGATAGATAGATAGATAATAGATAGATAGATAGATAGATAGATAGATAGATAGATAGATAGATAATAGATAGATAGATAGATAGATAGATAGATAGATAGATAGATAGATAATTAGATAGATAGATAGATAGATAGATAATAGATAGATAGATAGATAGATAGATAGATAGATAATAGATAGATAGATAGATAGATAATAGATAGATAATTAGATAGATAGATAGATAGATAGATAATAGATAGATAGATAGATAGATAGATAGATAATAGATAGATAGATAGATAGATAATAGATAGATAATTAGATAGATAGATAGATAGATAGATAGATAAATAATAGATAGATAGATAGATAGATAGATAGATAGATAATAGATAGATAGATAGATAGATAGATAGATAATAGATAGATAGATAGATAATAGATAGATAGATAATAATAGATGATAGATAGATAGATACATTTAAGAGTCACCAGTAATGATACATAAATATTCAGTATATGAGTGTACTTTCATGTTGTGAATAGAGAAGAGATGGGCTTCATGCTATTTTTTTTACATTCTAATAAAGAATAATAAAAAAGTAATTCTCAAGTTGAGTTCTTTGCTTTTTTGATTTCGATATTTGTTCTCAAATATACAGTATACTGTATATACCGTGTAGAGTCTAGCAATATGGTTTTAATGTTTTTTTTAAACTCTACTGCTATCTGTTTAACTGGCTGTATTCCCCTTAAGGCATTTTAAACCTACAAGCAAACATTCATTATATTGCAGCTTACCAATCCTTAGATGTAGTGGCTGCCTTCGTTTTCGTTTGCTTCCTCTCCTTTACTTTCACCTGGTGATATGGTCATTAAGTCTGTTGTTTCACAACAGAACAAGCTGTAGCAGTTATAGATTTAAGACAAACCATTTACCACTGACAGGGGTGCTGACAATGGTCAGAGTTTATTAATTTATGTAAAAGCTTTATCCCAAAAGAAGAAAAAAACTGTTGCTGTAACTGTTTAGAAAGTGTGAGCTGGCTTTTGGCTTCAATTTGTTAGTGTAACTAAATTTGCTAGTGCATCCAACATGCCTCTCCCCCAGGGGCGGACTGACAACTCATGGGGCCCCCGGGCAATAGGGGATCATGGGGCCCCTGTGTCCTTGCCCAAACTTAAAAAAGCCTATGAAAAAGGTACCAGGGGCATCTCATGGGGCCCCCTACTGATCCCGGGCCCTCGGGCAGTGCCTGAGTTTCCAAATGGTCAGTCCGCCCCTGCTCTCCGCTCAGATTAACAATGCTGCTGGCCAAAGGTGTTTCTGTTGTTCCTTTATCCAGAGTGTAAGCTCTCTGTGACAGGAAGGGTGTTACTGGTCAGATCACTAGGCGAAAATGAAGGGAAAAAAGTCTAAAAAAAACCAAATGCAGCCAGCACATCTAAGGATTAGTAATCTGTAATATGTTACATTTTTGGTTTGGGGTTTGATACCCCTTTTACTATCTTGCACCATCTCCCTGACAATATCCACAGTCTTAATGCGTATACTAAAGCTGTTTCCTGACTATACACTCTGCCTTCAAATATTCATGCCATTTGCTATGCTATAAATTCCTGTTTTTGAGGAGTTCAGAAAGAGATATAAAAAAAATATAAAAAAAAATATGGAAATTACACGATACAATCTGAAGTACCTATTAAGTGTAACATACAGTATGTGTTCGGCTAAATTATATGATTTTGTTAAAAAAAAAAAAGTAAAATAAAATATTCAGTCAATTGTAAAAAAATCTGGATATATTATTTAATTTTTTTCATTATTATTTGCAAGATTTATGTTTACTTTGACTCTTTCAATTAGAAACATTCTCTAAATTACCCTTAATGTTTATTACACAATAGTGCAGTATTGTACGACACTCGTGTTCTTTAATTATTTTCAGATTTTGCTTAAACTACAAGTTTTTTGTTCTTCTGCTATTACTTTGCTCATTTTAATTTCCTCGCCTGACTACTTGGAACATCAAAGACTATTTATGAGTTGTATTACATTACATTGCTTCTTCACAAACACAATGCTGAACAGTCTTTTTAGCAGAAATACTGTATATTTAGGAGGATCTGTTACTATTAAAATCATTAACTACAAACTAATTAATACCAACAATCAAAACATTTTATTTAACCAGTTACTTTGATGTGTTTTGGAGGTAACGCTGTAAGTTCTCTACTACAATCCCTATAATGCAGCATATACCCACATGGAAGAAAAATATATTTTAAATATATTTTTAAAATATTCTTCGCAAATATATTGACATATATTTGAAATGCAACAATTGTGGCTGTCTTCAATATATTTCAATATATATATATATATATATATATATATATATATACA